GCATAATTATCCTTGAGGAGTTTTACTGCCAGATCATAGCCGTCATTAGTTAATCTCAGATGGGATACTACTGTTTTAGCCTCACCTGATAATTGGCCTTGCAAATAAGAGAATTTACTACTCTTTGGTAAAGATTGTTTTGAGTCTACAAGGTCAACGAATTTGTTCCAAAATTCGTCCCAATCTTCCTCATCTTTTCCTGAGAAAGTGGGTAAATTAATTGGAGGGAGTCGAGCTTCTGCTTGACTCGTATTAGATGCAACTGTTGTTGTTGTTGCTGTTGCCTTGTTCTGGGCAATTAATTTGACATAAGGCTGTAACGTGGCCTGAGTGTGATCTTCATAATTCGCAAGATCAACCATAATGTCGTCTATTTCTGTTTCTGATAAATTGGTGTTGGCAAGTTCAGCCACATATGTTGCTATTTGACATTTGATTTGATCAAATTTACCTGCAGCTGCTTGATAATAGCTTTCCAGGTCAGCATAATCAACTGTTGATTGTTGTGACAAATCTTCACATTTCTTGATCTGTCTTGTTAAGTGGCCTTTAAGACCTGCAAGGGTTCTTTTCATTCTCCCTGCATTATCCATACTGGCTAGTTGGTGAAGCCTTGTGGGGCTTGTACTTGGGCTGCTCATATTACTGAACAAGCTCTAATGGTAGCCTAGGGTTAATTCTGCACTCACTAGGCAATAATCCTACCTCTACTAGAGGTTAGCACTTAAAATTAATACACATTATATATATACAATCATCCACACTAATGATTTGAGTGATAAACCAGTGTCACTGGAAGTACCTTTAGGTTAGCTCTTCTATATCACCCTAGGATGGTAGAGACACTAATTAATCACTCAAAGGTGTAATGATCATAAGTAAATTATTATATACACAACTCAACTCGAGTTGATAAAAATTACACCCAAAATAGGGTCTGGACCATTCATTAATGGTGTTAGTGGGACTAGGATGAACGATAATAGTTCAACTAGTCAATGGTTAATATCCTACCCTGTTGTGGGTTGGCAATTAGTAAATATTATACTGTGATCACTAGTGCAATATATATTAAATAATTCTCTATTTTGGAGAAATAATATACACAATTATTGATAATAGCCTCTTAATTAGCCTCTATGAAACTTCTAATATTATCTAGAAGTATTAAATATTATTAGTGACCTCGCGAAATAAAGTCCACAAAATTCGTGGATAATCTCTCGCGAAATGTAACACCACGAAATCCGTGAACAATATCGCGAAGACACAGTCACTAATTAGGCTGGCTTCTATATTAGCGCTGTCATTTCACGAAATAACACGCCACCAAATATCTGTGGGTGTGCATGAAACCGCTGACGAAGCTGAACTGGGCTGAGGGAGGCTCCTGAGCTCCCACGAGGCAACGCCGCTGTCTATGACTGGCTGGCTTTGTTTAAATAACACTGCACTAGTATATTTAATGAATCCACTGGTTAACTGGTTCATCCGGTACTAAGATGACCAAATGTGGGTTCAAAGGACCGAATATTCCGGTTCCGAAGGTCCAAATATTGTGGGAACCGACCTGTGAGATTTATATTTATTTAATTTATATGAATATATATAGAATTTATATTTACGTTAATTTATATACTTCGATAGCAATTTGTATAATGATAAGTGGACTGTATTTCTGCAATAATCTCTTAATCTCACAAATCGATCCTCTACACATTAGGGGGGGTTATTAAATTAATATATCTGCAGCCAATCTAACTACAGTAACTACATACATTGAAAAGGTTCCTTATCTTAGAGTACAGCAGGTTAGTCCACCAGGTATAACTAGGGTGTAGACACCAAATTATCCTCTTTGAGTTAGCTTCCATCACCCAGTAACTGGTGCACATAATCTTGCATCCTCGTCTTGACCTGTCAAAAGTGCGCTAGCTGTGAAGCCAGAATCCTATATATGACAAGCTATATCAGAGAAAACACTATACAGTACATGGAACATGAAGACCTGGCTTAATTACCTTTAGTTTGAGGCTTCCATGTGATCTAACCGGATCACCCTATATAATGACATTAATGGCCATAAATGAATGATAAACGGGTTTCGGATAGACTTAACTTGAATTTGTAGACAGCGTGTTGACAATGGTACACCTTTGGCTTCCATAACACTACGTCCAAGTAAATTTAACAGGAGCCGAATTTGCTCCCGTGTGAGCCTCTGGTCTCAATATACAATGGCTGTTTAACACTCCATACTATTGACGTTATTGGCCGACATTGTCCAGAATGATAGGAGCCGAATTTGCTCCACACGTCTCGGAGGTGACACAACAATGGCTGCCCTCCTTCCTCACAGACGCCTGGCCTACTTTGTCCAGATTTCAGAAAGTGATAGAAGGGTCACATTTACTCTACTTTAATATTGATAATTAAGTTAATTTATATAAGATGTTTTTATGATGGTAAAGTCCAAAGACTAATGTATTTAAGAATAATTCCCAGCAAAATAGCTGGTGAATTATAATAGTATGTGGTGATGATATCCCGTTTTCTATAGACGGTAATTCCACTACAAGTTACGTTTTCTATGGGTAACTTGTTTATACAACACAGCTCTTATCTGTCTGTATGATATTATTATTAAATGGTGTCGGATTTTCCGACAGTACGTGGGTGAAGCATTTACAGCGTTGTGGTTCAAACAAAATTCGTCAGTGAAGCACTTGTTCCGGATATGTTCGAACGTCAGCAGTTGTGAGTCGTGTGTAAACCAACTCGTCCTCCAAACAAAGATCCAAAAGTGATTCCATGCCCCCGCCAAACCCCGTTTATGCAACCCGTCCTCGATTCAAGACCATTACATCCAGCGGTCGACCCCACAGACGCATTCATAAATTTTAATATGCTCCTCATTCAAAACGGGAATTTTCTCAAGTATAAATTAATATTATAATATATTAGCATATTGTGTATATATAGGCATAGGATAGGTTAGGTTAGGTGTTTAGGTTCTGTTGGCGATTATTTGTATTTGTAGTACGTGGGTGAAGCATTTATAGCGTTGTGGTTCGAACAAAATTCGTCAGTGAAGCACTTGTTCCGGATATGTTCGAACGTCAGCAGTTGTGAGTTGTGTGTAAACCGCTTTTCATTCATAAACAGGGGGTTTGGCGGGTGCATGGAATCACTTTTGGATCTTTGTTTGGAGGACGGGCTGTTTATAGCGTTGTGATTCGAACAAAATTCGTCAGTGAAGCACTTGTTCCGGATATGTTCGAATGTCAGCAGTTGTGAGTCGTGTGTAAACCGCTTTTCATTCATAAACAGGGTGTTTGGCGGGTGCATGGAATCACTTTTGGATCTTTGTTTGGAGGACGGGCTGGCATTTACACCATTGTAGTTCAAACAAAATTCGTTAGTGAAGCACTTGTTCCGGAAGTTTTCGAACGAAATCAGTTGTAAGTCGTGTGTAAACCGTTTTTCATTCATAAACCAGCCCGTCCTCCAAACAAAGATCTAAAAGTGATTCCATGCACCCGCCAAACCCCCTGTTTATGAATGAAAAGCTATTTACACACGACTCACAACTGCTGACGTTCGAACATATCCGGAACAAGTACTTCACTTTCGAATTTTGTTCGAATCACAACGCTATAAATGCTTCACCCACGTACTACAAATACAAATAATCGCCAACAGAACCTAAACACCTAACCTAACCTATGCCTATATATGCACAATATGCTAATATATTATAATATTAATTTATACTTGAGAAAATTCCCGTTTTGAATGAGCAGCATATTAAAATTTATGAATGCGTCTGTGGGGTCGACCGCTGGATGTAATGGACTTGAATCGAGGACGGGTTGTCGAATCACAACGCTATAAATGCTTCACCCACGTACTACAAATACAAATAATCGCCAACAGAACTTAAACACCTAAACTATGCCTATATATGCACAATATGCTAATATTTCAAAATATTAATTTATATTTGAGAAAATTCCCGTTTTGAATGAACAGCATGGAAAAATTTATGAATGCGTCTGTGGGGTCGACCGCTGGATGTAATGGATTTGAGTCGAGGACGGGTTGGTATAAACCGTTTTCATTCATAAACAGGGGGTTTAGCGGGTGTATGGAATCCCTTTTAGGTTTTTGGAGGACGGGCTGCTCACAACTGATGACGTCCGAACATTTCTCGAACAGTGCTTCAATCACGACCTATGCTCGCATCGCAACGCTGTAAATGTTGCACTTCAGATAAAAATGATCGTCAACAGACCCAAAACATTCAACCTAATCTACGCCTATTTATACATAGAACTTTAATACATAATAAATGAGAACAAACCTATTTTTATGCACAATTTGTTAAACTTAATCAATGCGTCTTGGGGAACTATAGCAGCTTTAACGAGCCTGGCCTGAGGAAGTATTGTGTGTCCGGGTACACGTGTCCCATGGTACATGTGTCCGGGTACACGTGTCCGGGTACATGTTTCCGGATACACGTGTCCCATGGTACATGTGTCCGGGTACACGTGTCCCATGGTACATGTGTCCGGGTACACGTGTCCCATGGTACATGTGTCCGGGTACATGTTTCCGGATATACGTGTCCGGATACATGTTTCCGGGTACACATGTCCGGGTACATACGTATAGGAACCGCGTACATTGCCAGAAAGTGTAAGTGCTATCAACTGTTATCACAGTGTAAGGTTTACCCGCGTCACTCACGACCCCCTCCGCCCCCCCCCCCTCTGTCTTGACACAACCCGCCACGCTTCCGTCTCTCTTACACCCTCCCCATCTATCATGCCTTCGCCCCCCCCCCCACCCCTCCCTTCTTTTTCTGGTCCAACTTTCCCTATTAATGCCCCCTTAGCTTGCCGCAGCCATAAATGCTACCTTCTTCCCGCTACCATACAAACCTCACCTCCACCATTCACTAGAGCAAGGCCTCCTCCCCCCTGCCCCACACCTACGAGCCCCACCACCCTCCAGGGCGGGGAGCCCCCCAACCACTCACCACTACCTCCCACAACAACCGCCCCACCAACACTGCCAGCGCCCGACCATCAGTCCCTCACGCCCTCTTACTACTCACGCTTCACCTGCTCACCTCACCTTCCTCACCTGGTGAATATAACCCAAATATTTTGTGAAAAACAGCACATCTCCTCTGCCGGGTAAGTCCACAACGGGCTCACCATAGCCCGTGCTGCTTGAACCTTTCAGTTCCGATTAGGTGAATCTAAAACAAAAATAACGTGAAAAACATACCAAATGTGGATTCCTTTCCACACTGGTCTCCGAATGCATAATGGATCTGATGAGTTAGCCAAATCATTTGCTAGTAAAGATGGAAGTGATTGCCATCTTGGACTGTCTTTAAGAAGCGTGAGGGCACCAATATTCCGGGAACAGCAACAATATTTTGTGGACTTAAGGCATAGTGAAATTCACACCAGTTATATTGTTTATCATCATTCTATTATGCAGGAAGAACCACACATCTAGTGATCACCCTCTAAAGTTAGCAGACTTCTAAATGTTAGCACTGCTAGCTAGGCTTAGGCTCGGCTACAAGCACCAGCTGCCCACGTAAATTTGAGTGCTTTGTGAACACAATTATCACATTACTATTTTTGCTGAAGAAAACAATTTGAAAAGTTTCAGGTTAAAAATTGGTGAATACAATGAAAGGTTAAAGGTTGTGACTCGTCAGGAGCTCATCATCTTCCAGATAGTAACCGAAAAAACAGCAGGAGTTTCTCCTCTGGATCACCCCACAGAGGCGCTGAAATATAATTGTCAGCTCTGGGGTCTCTGCAGTGGTGGTGTCACGGAACCAGGTCGTGGAGACCACTCATGGCATCCTTGCCCAGGGGCCAAGTCTCTCACATAAGCCTTAGGCTCGGCTACAAGTTCCTCTGGGAATTTGTAACATCTGCTGATGTAGATTTGTCTAAATGTAAACTCTGTCAGCAGAACTATTCGCAGACTTTGCGTCATTATATAATGGAATGTGAAAAAATCGCGGAATTTAGAGATAGCTCCATCAATAGTGTCAATGTGTAAGTACTTCATTCATAATGATGTGCTGCCCGAAATCTTAGAGAAGTATCCAAAATTTGCTTACTGTAGGTAATGCATGCACATGACTATAAAGCTGCCGCCCAGTTGGGTGGGTGTGGAGCACATGACTGTAAAGCTGCCGCCCAGTTGGGTGGGTGTGGAGCACATGACTGTAAAGCTGCCGCCCAGTTGGGTGGGTGTGGAGCAAGACTAGTAACTGTGTGACTCACCATAGATGTAAAGTGCCTTGTATAGTGACTGTTGTGAGCCTCTTGTTGATCACTTGTGACACAAAAGATTATTGATGTGTGTACTTGTGTGGGTTATTAAATATGTATGTGTATGTATATATGTATACGTATGTGTATGTATATATGTATACATATGTATATGTACATGTATGCATGAGTATGTATACGTATGTATATGTACATGTATGCATGAGTATGTGTACATGTATATATAACATTAATAATTTTGTAACTAGTGTGAAAAGATTATTTGCTTAGCTAAACGAACTAGAGGGTTCAGTTCCTGAACCGATTATGTGCCTCTGTAATCCTTTACACCACCGCCCACGGGATGGGTATGGGGTGCATAATAAAGAAAGAAATTGAGTTCTCACATATCCGGGAACAAATGTGTGCAGATGTTCCAGGTACCTTTGTACTATGATTTTACTGCTCCTGTTTTCGAAAACAAAATACAAGCGAGGAAAAGTGAACATGTTATAGGGCTTTCAAAGTAAAAAATTATTTGTTTCAATTTTTATTGAAATACTGTACTAATAAAAGTATGTGAGTATCTCAAGTGTTGTTTTTATTTTAGTTTTCAATACTTTTTCAAGTTCTGTAATTTTTACGAGTGTGCGCGCGCATGTTTTGTCAAGGGTTGTGTGGACGCGCACACGCTCATGTTTGGTGCGTGTGTGCGCATATTTGTCCGTACAGGCGCCTGAATATACGTTTATTGGTGTATGTTTCCTCTCATAAATGTATTTGCAGGGTCGAGCGTAAGCTCTTGAGCCCCGCCTTACTAATCTGTCTAATGCAGACTCACAACCCTCCTGATGCGTCTACCCTTTAGGACAGGTTATTGTACTAACCTGTACTATCCCTCCCTCCGCTCCACTACCTGCGTGCCTGTTGTGGTTCGGGGTAAATGATCACACCTATGTCACACCTCTTCTCAGAGTCCAGGAAGATACAAGCTGCCCACCCTCCGCTGCCTCACCGCTCGTACCTGCCTCACCGCTCGTACCTGCCTCACCGCTCGTACCTGCCTCACCGCTCGCACCTGCGTCACCGCTCGCACCTGCCTCACTGCTCGTACCTGCCTCACCGCTCGTACCTGTCTCACTGCTCGTACCTGCCTCACTGCTCGTACCTGCCTCACCGCTCGTACCTGCCTCACTGCTCGTACCTGCCTCACCGCTCGCACCTGCGTCACCGCTCGCACCTGCCTCACTGCTCGTACCTGCCTTACCGCTCGTACCTGCCTCACTGCTCGTACCTGCCTCACTGCTCGTACCTGCCTCACTGCTCGTACCTGCCTCACTGCTCGTACCTGCGTCACCGCTCGTACCTGCCTCACCGCTCGTACCTGCCTCACCGCTCGTACCTGCCTCACCGCTCGCACCTGCGTCACCGCTCGCACCTGCCTCACTGCTCGTACCTGCCTCACCGCTCGTACCTGCCTCACTGCTCGTACCTGCCTCACTGCTCGTACCTGCCTCACCGCTCGTACCTGCCTCACCGCTCGCACCTGCCTCACCGCTCGTACCTGCCTCACCGCTCGTACCTGCGTCACCGCTCGCACCTGCCTCACTGCTCGTACCTGCCTCACCGCTCGTACCTGCCTCACTGCTCGTACCTGCCTCACCGCTCGTACCTGCCTCACCGCTCGTACCTGCGTCACCGCCCGTACCTGCGTCACCGCTCGTACCTGCGTCACCACTCGTACCTGCGTCACCACTCGTACCTGCGTCACCGCTCGTACCTGCGTCTCCACTCGTACCTGCGTCACCGCTCGTACCTGCGTCACCACTCGTACCTGCGTCACCACTCGTACCTGCGTCACCACTCGTACCTGCGTCACCACTCGTACCCAGCCTCTCAACTAATACGTCACATTTTGCACGTTGTGGTCCCCAACGTACAAATTACAGAGAACTAAGAAAAACAGCGGATCACATATAACGCCGTTTTCTATGCTTCGGCAGGGCAGGTTAGGTTAAGTAGGTTATTCGGGTTCGTACGTTTCGGTTAGGTTAGCACTTTATATTTTGTACGTTGTGGTAAATTCTAATAGTTGTGTTCTATTTATTTATGTATATTGCCCGTTACCTCCTCATATCTTCATCACCTGATACTAACTGCGGTTGAACTCTAACAGCCACTTGTGTGGGCACTTGTGGAGTTGGTCAAGATCATCCCACACCACGATACAACCCTCCTTGCTTTTCCTTTCCTCATCAGGAACGTGTCGATTGCGGCAGTCATATTTATTAGCTCAATCTCTCGAGGTCATTACCAAAGATTAGGAACAGCAACATGACGAGCTGTGAGGGCACGTCTCGATACATCCTTCCAGCATGACATGTGTCTGAGTGTGACTGTTTTCCTTCTGGCGGGTACTCCTTTGACGGCATCCCAGCTGGTCTCTAGTTACACATAGTAGTGTAGGTAGTATTTCTGGTAGTCTAGGTAAACGCTGTCTCTCATTCTCCCCCCTCCCCGCCTTGCTGTATCGTAGTGTGAGGGTGTGTGGAGAGAGATACGGACAAGAGATAAGCATATAGATAGTTAATGGAATAGTGTTAATCCCAGGTGTTCTGATAAGGGTTCTAGAGATACAGACAAACTTGGGTCGAGCAGTACAAGCCACTCATGACAGGCATGACTAATGTAACACGATAAGCCTCATAGCTTGATGTAGTGTTATACGTTAATTAACCGTCGCCAGTGTCGCCCTGCATGCCACACCCACCTTCACGGCCCGGACACTCTTGTGGTTGACACTGTTGTGGCTGACACTCTTGTGGCTGACACTGTTGTTGTTGTTGACACTGTTGTGGTTGACACTGTTGTGGTTGACACTGTTGTTGACACTATTGTGGTTGACACTGTTGTTGTTGACACTCTTGTGGTTGACACTTGTGGTTGACACTCTTGTGGCTGACACTTGTGGTTGTTGTTGACACTGTTGTGGTTGACACTGTTGTTGACACTGTTGTGGTTGACACTTGTGGTTGACACTCTTGTGGCTGACACTTGTGGTTGACACTCTTGTGGCTGACACTCTTGTGGTTGACACTGTTGTGGTTGACACTCTTGTGGTTGACACTTGTGGTTGACACTCTTATGGTTGACACTTGTGGTTGACACTCTTGTGGTTGACACTTGTGGTTGACACTCTTGTGGTTGACACTTGTGGTTGACACTCTTGTGGTTGACACTTGTGGTTGACACTCTTGTGGTTGACACTTGTGGTTGACACTCTTGTGGTTGACACTGTTGTGGTTGACACTTGTGGTTGACACTTATGGTTGACTCTTGTGGTTGACACTCTTGTGGTTGACACTCTTGTGGCTGACACTCTTGTGGTTGACACTGTTGTGGTTGACACTCTTGTGGTTGACACTTGTGGTTGACACTGTTGTGGTTGACACTTGTGGTTGACACTCTTGTGGTTGACACTGTTGTGGTTGACACTTGTGGTTGACACTCTTGTGGTTGACACTGTTGTGGTTGACACTTGTGGTTGACACTCTTGTGGTTGACACTTGTGGTTGACATTTGTGGTTGACACTCTTGTGGTTGACACTCTTGTGGTTGACACTGTTGTTGTTGACACTCTTGTGGTTGACACACTTGTGGTTGACACTCTTGTGGTTGACACTCTTGTGGTTGACACTCTTGTGGTTGACACTCTTGTGGTTGACACTCTTGTGGTTGACACTTGTGGTTGACACTCTTGTGGTTGACACTCTTGTGGTTGACACTCTTGTGGTTGACACTCTTGTGGTTGACACTCTTGTGGTTGACACTCTTGTGGTTGAC